TGGTCATCAGTGAACTACTAACAAGGTCGGCAGTTCAAACCCACCAACTGCTCCTTCAGAGAAATATAATTGTTTCTGCTCCCTTAAAGATTGCACCTTTGGAAACCTTATACAGGGTGCTATGAGTCAGATTTGATTCCATGACAGTGCGTTTGGGTGTTTGTTTTTGGGTAAGCATTGGGGAGGGTGCCCTTGTGGTGCATTGGTTAAAGCACTCAGCTGTTAACCAGAAGGTCAGCACTTAGAAGTCAGCAGGCGCTCCTTGGAGAAAGATGTGGCTGTCGTTTCTTTAAAGGTTCATAGAGTTGGGACGCTATGGGATAGTTTTACTCTATCTTGCAGGATTTCTGTGAGTCAGAATTGACGGGATGGCAGTGGGTTTGGACATTTTTTTGGTTGTAAGCATTGGATTAGTAACAAAAAACTCAAATGTCTTCTGAACTTAAGTCAAGACAAAATGGAGTTAAGGTTCTCACGGTAGGTAGCAATTTTCCACAAACCAAATGTTCAGAATTTACGCTCTAGAGCATATATTATCTTAACAGGTAACTACCCTAAAGTAAGAGTTTGAATGCACTGCATCCTAAGATACCTTTCATTGTAAGCTATGGTGACTAAGTCTTGTTCTCAAAAAAAATTTAGACTAAGTGGATGAAGATTATATAATTATTGTAATTCCCCAAAGAAGCATCAAATAAAGGAGGCATTTCTTGTAATAAGATGATAGATTAAGTACAGTGCCTGAGTGGATGAATTCTTTCTCAGTAAACCACTCAGGGAAGTCAGCCTAATCCATTATGAGAAATGGAGCACGGGGTTAATAGAGGGTAGAAAGCAAAAGGAAAAAGAAAAACAAAAAGGAAAGCAGGAAATAATAGCCCCTTTCATAATAAATCCCAAACCCAAATCCACTGCCATCAAATCGATTCCAGCTCTTAGCGACTGTGTCTATGGCTTCCAAGTTCGTCAGTCTTTACAGGAGCAGAAACCTCATCTTTCTCCTGCAGATCAGCTGTTCAGTTTGCATTTCCAACCTTTCAGTTTGCAGTCCAGTGCTTATCCTACAGTACCACCAAGACTCCTTTCATAGTAAATGTTGTTGTTGTTAAATGCCATGGCATCAATTCCAACTCATAGATCTTGTTCAGAGGAGTGATTGGTGGGTTTGAACCACCAACCTTGGGGTTAGCAGTCCAGTACTTATACTATAGTGCCACACAAGAACTCCTCATAGTCAATTGTTGTTGTTGTTGAGTGTCATCAAGTCAGTTCTGACTCATAGCAGCACTATATAGGGTTCCAGAGGACTGATTGGTGGGTTTGAACTGCCAACCTTGGGGTTAGTAGTCCAGTGCTTATACTATAGTGCCACACAAGAACTCATAATAACTTGTTGGTGTTAAGCACCATTGAGTCAGTTCTGACTCATAGTGACCCTGTTATATAGGGTTTCAAAAGAGCAGCTGGTATGTTTGAACCACTGACTTTTCAGTTAGCAGTCCCGTATTTATCCTACAGCACTATACTGAGAGTCATAGTAATAAAAGGGCTTTAATTGTTTGATATTAAGGCAGATTCAGTAGTGAAGTATTCTGCTATATTAATGTGTTTATGTATTCTATACCCAGACTTCTACATTTTTTTCACTGCTTTATATATCTTTTTTCAAAGTTGTTTAGTATAAGTGACCTTCTTGAGTATACCCTCAAGCATCTTTGAAAAAATGACATCTTACAAAACATCTTTGGAAATAAAAGTCCATCTCCTTTAGCCAGCTAAGCAGATGAGTCCATAGAAATGCTTCATTATCTCATTCCAACTGAATAGAATAGCAGCATGAATGTATTTTTTGAGGAGCTGGAGAATTAGCAGTAGACTGTGAACCACAAGGTCGGCAGTTCAAATCCACCAGCTGTTCCTCAGAAACCATATACAGGGTCACTATGAGTCAGAACCAACTCGATGGTACTTAACAACAAGTATCAGAGCATAGTGGTTACTAGTTGGGCTACCATCTCCAAGATCAGCCGTTTGAAACTACTGGCCATTACATGGGAGAAAGATGAGGCTTTCTGCTCCTGTAAAGATTTACAGCCTCGGAAACTCTGTACAGAGTCACTATGAGTCAGAACCGACTCCACGGCACATATACACCATAACCAAGTATCAAATTATAGATCAAATAAAAATAGTGATAAAAGAATTTCTATAGGTAATTCTAACAGCGAAATATTTACCTCATCAACCAATTTAGCTCCTTGCCTGAGCATCTTCACAAATTATGCAGATTATGGAGGGAAAGACTATAAATGCATATGGTGGAGAATGGAGAGAATATTCTGAATGCAAAACAAGGAAGGTGCAGGTAGCACTTTAAGATTCAAGATATTTTGTGAAAACTTAAATTAGAAAGTAATAGATATGTAAGTCAGTAGTCATATAAATGAATTCTTGTCAGAAAAATTTGGAAAACCATGAAATTTAAATAAACATTTATAAGCATATAATTCCATTTTAGTGTGCTAATAAAATAATGTTTTTGATATTTATGTTGTTTCTCAAATCTAAAATGAAAACAACTTGTGTTAACACCCTGCTGCCTAGAATACTGCATTGAAATCATTGTCTACTTAAACGAAACTATTTTTTTATGATACGAAACAACATTTGTTTTTCTTCATCTTGACTCTATATAGAAATGATGTAATAAAGTAGGGAAGGGATTTCTGCAAAGGTGTTACTTCCTTAAGGTGCCCTGGTAGCATAGTGGTTGCACATTGGGCTGTTAGGCACAAGGGAAAGCCAGCAATTCACATCTACCAGTTGCTCTGAGCTAGAAAGGTGAGGCTTTCTGCGCCCATAAATATTTACTACCTTGGAAACCCTAGACACGGTCCCTGTAAGTCAGAACTGACTTGATGGCACACCATCACCATTACTTCCTTAATTAAAAATATTGTTTATCTACAGCTGTGATAACAACTGTGACAGCTGTAGAGAAGTCCAGGATTTATCCTTATCATCTTGGTGCTGTTGTGTGCCATCAAGTCGGTTCCAACCCATAGCGACCCTCTATAGAGTTTCCCAGGAGCAGCCGGTGAGCTTGAATTGCTGACCTTGCGGTTCAAACTGACTTTGCAGTCCAGTGCATTAACCCGCAGCGTCACATCAGGACTCCTGGGCCATCTGAAACATGTAACAGATAGAATTTTCCCATCCTAAATTGAATGTAACTCTGACAGTTGAAAAAGTGTCACTCATGTTCCTGATTTTGTTAGCATGGTTGTAGGAAGCATAAATCCACGTGAGGTAAAGCAATTTTATTTAATGATTTTTAATGCTGGAGCACTATCATTAGGTTAGATATATCTAACCAAAACACAGGATTTTCTGGGCATCCAGGTCTCAGGAAATCAAGAATGAGGACAATTCAGGGGACCTCAGCTGCTAAAATACATGGCCATTAGTGCTAAATCTTTAGCATTAATGTTTCTTATTCACATGTGTCCATTTCTTTTCATCCTGCTACTAAACGGCTTCTCCAGACTCTCGGGAGAAGAATCTCTATTGGCTCTCTGTCCAGAGTGAGTGGTTGTTACTGTTGGGTTAGGTCCAGGCTGCTGCAGTCTGGGAGGTAAGGCAATCTGCTAAGTCTTGGTAGGAACTGTGAGCATAAAACACTATGTAGGAAATGAGACTGAGCATGGTAGGTGGCTAATGTAAGGGCTTAATAAATAAGCTCATCAAAAGGAGCTATTTATGGAATGTTCCTGGAAGACTTTATGGAAGAGATGACATTTAAACTGGATTATAAGAGACTGAGTTGGATATAGATAGCAAGAGCACATACTAAAGTGATGGTGGTGGTGTGCTGTGGAGTCGGTTCTGACTCAGCCAGCGATCCTGTGTGTGTTTCCAAGGCCGTAAATCTTTATGGGAGCAGAAAGCCTCGTGGTTCTCCTGTGGAACCTCTGGTAGTTTCGAACTGCTGACCTTGAGGTTAGCAGCCCAACTCAACCACTGTGCTACCAGAGCTCCTTACATACTGAAGTAGGAGGGTATTTATTAGAACAAATGAGACAAATTGTGTAGATTTATGCTTGGCTCATGGACTGATGAGTGTGGCTCAGTGATCCTCAGTAAACTGCTCATTAGAATCACTTGAGTAGCCCCGTGTCAAGTCCTGGAGTCCAAATTGTGTTGTTGTTATGAAGTGCCACTGAGTCACTTCTGACCCATGGTGACCCTGTATGAGGAGTGACTAGTGAGCTTAAACTGCCGACCTTACAGTTCAAATCGACTTTTCAGTCGAGCGCATTAACCCACAGTACCACACCAGGACAAGCAATTCTGGGGTTGTGATCAGAGCATTTGGAACTTTTTAAAGCTCCCTGGGTGATTTTATGGAACCTTGCCAGTGTTGGGCTGCTAACTGCAAGGTCAACAGTTCGAGTCCACCTGGCACGCTGAAGGAGATAGATGAAGCTTTCTGCTCCTGTAAAGATTGACAGCCTTGGAAACCCTATACAGGGTTGATGTGAGTTAGAACTGACTCTATGGCACACCACCACCACCATCGCCTGGTGATTTTGATGCAAAGAGAGGACTGAGAACTACTGGAGAGTTCGAGACCATTGTATTAATGGTTTTGTGAAACAATTGTATGTTAGGACAGGACTTGAAGACTTCCTGCAGCAGGCTATGGAGTTTCAGCTGTGTCCTGTAGTAGGATTGGCCCTCTGAGGTTTACTGTTTCCTGGGATCCACTGTAGTCAGAACCCAGTTTATCTGTGTCTATTCAGTCTTTTCAAGGCAATAGAAATTAGAGTGGGAAGAAAAGTTTGCAAGGTGGATTTATGTGTCTTAAGTATATGTGTCCCATCACTTGTTGTTCTCATTAAGAATGTTACTTATTCATGGATTGAGTGTTGATTCCAGAGTCCATATTCTAAAGCTGAACAGGTTTAAGTTTTTGTGACCATCCTCTTTTCTCTCTCCAGGGGAGTCGGCTGCATCTTTGTTGAAATGATCCAAGGGGTTGCTGCCTTTCCAGGAATGAAAGACATTCAAGATCAACTTGAACGAATATTTCTGGTAAATTCCATATTTTTATTAAAGTTTTTATTGTGAGTTGAATTAAAGTTTACAGAACAATCAGTCTCACATTCAACAAATTATACACTTGGTGTCATTACAATAATTGCAATCCATGCCGCATACCGTCAGTTAACAGTATTTACCTCTATTCCCTTCCTTTTTTCACTTCCCCCCAACCCCCACCTGCCCTGTAATCATCAAAGAATGTTTCATTTAGCAAGAATGTCTTTTCTTAACTTTTTACAGCAGTGGTCTTATGCAATATTTGCCCTTTTGAGGAGTCCTGGTGTGGCGCTGTAGGCTAATGCGGCAAACTGCAAAGTCGTTTGAACTGCAAGGTCTGTGATTCAAGCTCACCAGCTGCTCCTTGGAAACCCTATACAGGGTCGCTATGGGTCAGAATAGACTCGATGGCACTTAACAACAACAACAGTTTCACTCAGCATAATGTACTCCAGGGTCATCTATGCTGTGAGGTGTTTTGTAGATTCTTCACTATTCTTCAGTGTTGCATAATATTCCATTGTTGTGTGTACCAAAGTTTGTGTAACCATTCTTCCATCGATAGGTGTTTAGGCTGTCTCCATCTTTTTGCTGTTGTGAATAGTGCTACAATGAACATGGGTGTGCATGTATCTAACTGTGTCACAGCTCTTAGTTCTTGATGGTAATTTCTTTAAAAAGTGCTTTTGAGAAGAATTGGATTCTAGTCACCTAGTGACAAATTCTACAGTGATCAGTGGAAAATAAATCAAGACAAAATTATTTGTTGTCACATTTAGCTCCAACAATTACGGACCTTTCTGAAAGCAAGAAACAAATACTTAAATATATGTATAATGTAATTAGATTTATAATATAACTATTATATGTGAATAATATGGCAAAACAATAAGAGAGGGTTAGATGTGAGAGACAATATAATGAGTCATAAATGGAGGACTCTGGCAAGAATTTTAAATAATTTATATAGTCATCATCCTTTCAAGTTGTTGTGAAGTGTCAAGTCGGTTCCGACCCATAGTGACCCAGTATAGGGTTTCCAAAGAGCAGCTGGTGAGCTTGAACCGCCGACATTGCAGTTCAAACAGCTTTGCAGTCTGGTGCATTAACCCACAGCGCCACACCAGGACTCATCCTTTCAAGTAGATAGAACTTAATTCCCTTCCTCTTTATCTTTTCCCCTCATTTGAGTGTGGACTACACTTGGTGTCTTTTTTGAGAAAAGTTGAGCATGGAAAAAGGTGCAGATAGAGGAGATGATAATAGCTTTACAATGAAGAAAACTAGTAAACAGTATATCAACCAGGTTATTAAGGTTTCTGTTGATAGTATTTACCCTTGATATGATGTGGTAAGAATGGCACTTCTCCTCTGTGGCCTCTCTCTCACAACCCTGAGACAGACAAATTGAGGGCCGGTCTATAAAATACCTGACCAGGATTCCTCAAAACTGTTAAGTTCATTGTGATAGTTAAGGTTTTGTATCAACTTGACTCAGCCAGGATTCTCAGTGGTTTGGCTGTTGAGATGCAGCTATCCTGTATAGTGCAATTTGATGTAATAAACTAGTAAGAGGATTAAGAGTAGGATACATTGCCCTAAAGCCCATCACTAACCTGATCCAATTTATGGGAGATTTCCAAGGGCATGTCATTCTACACACTTTTATCTTACAAGAGATAAAAGTAGAGGAGGGACCCCTACCACCAAGCAAGAAGCGCCAGGAATAGAGTGCATCCTTTAGATCTGGGTCTCTGCACTGTGAAGCTCCTAGGTCCAGGGAACAATTGATGTTAAGACACAAGGAGCTCTCCAAGGAATGCTGGGCCTACAGATACTGAAAGGAGACAGAGGCCTTTTTTCACAGTTGGTGCTCTGTGAGAGAATACATTTCTATTTGATAAAGCTAGTGGTATTTCTGTCATAGCAATACTAAGTAAACGAATACAGTCAGCAGATACAAGAAGACATGACTGGTAATCTGTCATGTCCAGAGGGGCCTAAGAAAACATGTATTGTTTTGTTCTGCATGGGATCCTGGGACAGAAAAAGTGTGTTAGGGAAAACTAGTGAAACCTGAATAAATATGGACTTTAGTAATAGTAAAGTACCAGTACTGACTCCTTAACTATGGCAGATGTACATAGTAAAGTAAGATACTAATAATAGGGGAACTGCAGGAGGAGTATACAAGAGTTGTTTATTGTATTTCTATAATTTTTCTATTTATAGATTTATCTAAGACTACAGTATTCCCTCAGTATTTTTACCTTATGTTTTTTGTTATTGATGTTTTGTTGCAATGGTATCTCTGGTTCTCTGTTTTCAGTATTGTAGGGCTCTTTTGCTTTGAAGATTTTTATATCTGAGTTGAGTTCTGGGTGATATCATCATGTATATTATTCTCAGATTGTTGTCTGCTGGTGGAAGTTTTCTATTGAAAGAACTCCCTTTAGTATTTTTTGTAAGGATGCCCGGACTTTTACACATTCTTTTAAATTTCTGTTTATCTGGGAATCACATAATTTCACTTCATAATTGATAGATAGTTTTGCTGGGTATATGATTCTTGGTTGACAGTTTTGTTTTTATTTTTCCTTTCAGAGTTTTATAAATGTCATTCTATTATCATTCCAGAATGGTTTCTGCTGAGATATCAGAGCTTAAAGTCTTATTTGTTCTCCTTTGTAGGTAACTTTTCAGTTTTTTGGAGTTGCTATCAGAATTCTATCCTTGTTTTTGCTTTTTAAAAGTTTGATTATAATGTTTCTTGTTGTCTTGTTGTTTTTCTTTAGGGGGTCTGTCCTGTTTGAAGATCATTCAACTTCATGAGTGGCTATCTTCTTGTCTGTTGTGATGTTAGGAAAGTTTTCTTCTAACAATTCTTAGACAGTATCCTCTTGGATTTTTTTGTCTCCTCTTCTGGAATTCCAATCATTGATAGAATTCTAGATAGAATTCTAAAAAATCTTAGACTTTCTTCAGATTTTTTTTGCTCTTTTTACTGATAGTTCTGCTAGCAGATAAATATTGAGAAAATTTTCTTCAGTCTCAGTAATTCAACCTTCCATTGATTCATTTCTACTTCTGAAATCTTTGTGTTAGTATTGTGACTTTCAAATTGCTCTTTTTATATGATTTCCATTTTTTCACTTGTCAGTTTCCTAAATTTTTGTATAGTTTTGTCTATGGTTTCCTGATTTCATCTGTAGTTTTCTCAGTCATTCTCTCAGTTCCTTTGCAAAAATCATGTAGAGGTCATGTGTGACCTCCTCTGGCTTCAATAGGGAAAAGGAGAATCAAACTCGGTATCAGCCCAAGGCCGATTCCTGTGAAGTGCAGGTCAGACGTGCCTCTACCCTACAACTTTCTTTTCCCTATTCTGACACCAGCCATCCCTCCCACAGCACTCTTTGCTTCACATTTAGGTTTAGCAACCCATTTCAGTGACCACACAGAACTCTTATCACTACCTATAATATGGGGTTTATCAGGGAAGTTAAAACACCTCTTTTGAGTCAGGATCAGAACCAACTCAGGACGTAGCAGTTTTCCAATCAGGAATGCCTCTTGTCTGCCATACTGTAGACATACCTCACTCTTGTCTTCAGCTTCTCAGCCATGTGGCCCCTTAGCCTTTATCCTGCTCAGGTAAGTGTTACATAGCTCTTTTAACCAGTCTCATGCTTGTAGGCTCTCCGCTTTATTTAGTCCATGGGTTGAGAGCCCACAGCTGCTCTGTCTCCATGCCCTGCCCTCTGCTGTCACTGTTTTTCTAGGTAGGGATCGTATATTCCACCCATACTCTTCCATCTTGATGGTTCTGATATCATCTGTTCCTGCTTTTGAGCTGGCTGCTTTTAAATCTAGTTGGAAGGCAAAACTAACCAATCCCAACTTTAGAGTCTTGTACATCTTATTTGCTCTGTCCCACCCAGTCACTTGGGAATTTAGAAGACTTTGGATAGAAAAGCTGTGTCAAAGAGATTCAGAGTACCACATTGTTGAAGGTGTCTAAATAGCATTCTTTAAAATTCCTTATCAATGAGTTGCAATACCATTTCTGATATAATATTTTATGACTGTATTTTGGTCACTTATTAGAGTCACTCTGTCTTGTTTGTTCATATAAACTGAAATTGTCTGTTTTCTATGAGATCTTGCCATGTCATACTTATTTTTGACTGATGATTGTGTATTAGTATGTTATCAGATATCTCCATCTCCGACTCCTGATAAGTGTGATGGGGAAGTGTGAATGTGGTTTTCTGTTCACTATTTGTGTAACATAGTTAAGTGTGGATTCATGCATGTCCAGAAGCAGGAACAATATGTCTGAAGCCCAACCCTAGACAACCCAACCCTAGGCAACCCAACCCTAGGCAACCCAACCCTAGGCAACCCAACCCTAGACAACCCAACCCTAAGCAACCCAACCCTAGACAACCCAACCCTAGACAACTCAACGCTAGACAACTCAACCCTAGGCAACCCAACCCTAGGCCAAGCAGAAGCTGTTCAGGAAGGGGTGCCACTGTCCATTGGGTTTGCATGGGTGGGGACTTGGCACATCCTCAACTACAAGAACTTCACCCCCTTGCTGAAATCCTCCAGCCTTATCCTGTGCCTTCAGGCCACTGTAGAAACAGCTGTCTGCAAAAGCTCAAGATGGTCAAGTAGCTGCAGGCGTGCCTACAATCTGCCTATTTTTTCTTTTCTCTCACTCCTCCTATGCTTTCTCTTCCAGTCAGCACTCAGCCCACCTTTTGTTGTATCGTCAGAAGCTCAGGGTTCCTGTATCTGTTTCATTCAGTCTCCCATATGTTTACTGAAGAGGGTCTGCTCAATGCATCTGCTTACTCTGCCATCTCCCCCTCAAAGTCCTGGTTTCTCATTCATTTTAATTATGCAACTATGGACTTCTGGTGTGGTGCTGTAGGATGTATCTGACTCTGACTCTGTGGCACTTAGCAGCAACAACATACATTAAAGTG